TGACCAGAGTTAATACAGAACTCAAAGCATTTAAGGGCCTCATCTCCCATTTGCTTCTTTCAGTGTCCTTGGGTATGGTAGGACCTCATTCTACTGAGGAGTGAACTAGACCCCAGGAGGAAGGACAGCATGCAGTGAGAAGACTGGCCACAAAGCTCATGCTGCCTTTCACCAGCCAAGCCCTGTAGAGGCTAAGGAGAGCCCAGAAAGCTCAGAAATCCCTGCTCTTCAACAACAACCACAGAAATCCCTGCTTTAGCGAGAGCTGCTGTCACTGGGCTTACTTGCCTGCTAGAACAGGCTAGGACAGGTGTCCTGGATAACTAGCTAAAAAATGACCTCAGTGAGTCTGTTGAACTTCCAGGAAATCAAATCGTGAGTACCTAACTCTTCCCTACCCTCAAGCCCTAGTTCTGTTACAAGGTTTCTGAGGCAAAAAAAATCAAGGATGGGAAAGCCTCTCTCCATTTCACCATTTGCCTTGATCGGTGCTCTGTGTCTGACTACATGCGAGCATTAGAGAGCAGGGAGACAAGGTCACTGGTACGTGGGAATTCACAAAGGCCAGACACAAGTTCCAGGGAGCAACTAGGCCCATTCTGGCAGGGATGACAGCTACGTGGGGTGTGGAGGCAGAGCACAGTTGGCACAGCTCAAAGCTGAGTGGTACCACATCTCCCCAAATGACACTCACTGTCCACAAAGTCCTTGCATTCTTCCTTGAGCTCTATGGTCTGCTGGGTAACCTCAGGGTCCAACACGCGCAGCTTGTTCAGCTCGTCAAAGTGCAGCCCAGCTTCCCCCAGGATATCCTTGGCCATAGCTGTGAAGAAAGCAGCCTCAGTCCCCGATCACTTCCCAGCCACCCAAGGAAATGCCCACTTCCAGCCCAGCCCCACTCCTACCCCCAGACACCAGTGCCAAAACCCCAGACGCTCCTCCAAAGGCTCCCCTTCCCTCTGCCTCCACCTCTCTGAGCCTCACCTGTTTCCCTTCCGGCTTCCCTAGAGAAGCTCTGCTCTGCTCTGAAGGGGTGCTAGTGGCAGCCGGGAGGTGTGTCATAGGAGCAAGGGTCAGGAAAGAATAAAGTCCAGTTGCTTGTCACGGGCATCGTTCGTTCAACACACATTTCTTGAGTGCCTACTACATGCCAACACTGCTAGATGCGGGGGGTACAAGGATGAGGGCGACATGGTGCCCGCCCTGGAGGAGCACATAGTTTAGCTGGAGGAAGACAGATATGGAAACTGAGAAAGTATACTGTGTTAAGTGCTTTTACAGAAATATCACGCAAGTGTTGCAGGAGAACAGAGCAGTTAACAGGGTGAGGGAGTAACATTCGAACTAAGTTGTGAGAAGCTGTAAGTATATTTGTCCCCAATTATGTACCCACAAGGACACGAAAAAGCTCTTCCAGCACAGCCCTAGCATAACACCAAAAGCAAGTAAAAGAGGACATCTGCATGACTTAAAACTGAGAGTTTAAAAAAAAAGCCAGGAATAAAGATATTACCCACAATGTCTGCCACAGACATGCTGGCCTGAACTTGGACCAAAATTGGTTCCATCTCTTTCTAGCAGAAAACGCAAAAAGGAATGAAGCGTCAGCAAGAACGTACCAAGTGAGGAGGCTAGGGAAAGGCTTCCCAGGTGGAGAGAACAACACGGACAAGAGTGTGAGGTCACTGAAACAGCCAGAAGACCTAGAAGATGAAAGGACCAAGAACGGAGCTGCAAAGGTTAGCTGGGGCCAGATCAGTAAGACCCTGTGTGTCCAACTCAGGAGTCTGGGTTTCTTTCTGCAGGCAAGAGAATCAGCAGGGAGATCTTTTCCCTTCCCAGGCCACCCTGCATTCCTGGTCCAAAGGATGCCTCAATTCTGGGAAGGACACACTGAAAAATCACTGTTGTTCTGGCAAACAGACACCGCACGCGCGCGCGCACGCACACACACACACACACACACACACACACACATTAAAAAAAACACACCCTTTCCAAATAGGGAAGCAAGGCTACTTAGGTCTAGCCATTGGCTGCCATACCAATTCCCAAACCCCAGGTGTTCCAAAGGCTCTGCCACCACCTGGCCCTGCACCAGCCCATTCCTCTGCTCCCACCTCCCCCAGCTGTTTCCCTTTGGGCTTCCTTAGAGAAGATCTGTCCCAAATGCCGTGATAATGGGAGTAACTTCCCAGAGCAGGTATCCCATAGGAGGAGCAACAGTTAAAAAAAAATTAAGTCCCCCACCCACAAGAACTCATTTTCAAGACAGTCCAAAATCCAAATTTAGAGAAGAAATCTGATTTCTTTTTTAAGATTTTTTTTTAAAGATTTTTATTTATTTACTTGTCAGAGAAGCAGAAGCACGGAGAGCTACAGGCAGAACTGGTAGAGGAGGCAGAGGGAGAAGCAGGCTCCCTGCTGAGTAAGGAGCCCGATGTGGGACTGGATCCCAGGACCATGACCCCAGCCGAAGGCAGATGCTTAACCAACTGAGCCACACAGGTGTCCCAAAATCTGATTTTTTTTTTAAGATTTTATTTATTTATTCGACAGACAAAGATCACAAGTAGGCAGAGAGGCAGGCAGAGAGAGAGGAGGAAGCAGGCTCCCTGCGGAGCAGAGCCCAATGTAGGGCTCGATCCCAGGACCCTGGGACCACGACCTGAGCCGAAGGCAGAGGCTTTAACCCACAGAGCCACCCAGGCACCCCCAAAATCTGATTTTTAAAGGAAAGTCTTAAATTCAAAATTTTAAAGGAAAAACCACATCTAACACTGTGGGCCAACTAATGCAAGTCTGTAGACTGCCCATGTATGACTGTGGCCCAGAGCCCTTGGCCTACTGTACTCCACTGAAGGAACCAGGCTAGCATCTTCCTTTTGAAACATTTTAATCATCCTGAGCTTCCTTTTAATCCAGATTTTTAAAAGATTCATCTTCCTGCTGTTCTGTTACATTTACACATACAGTCCGAGCATTTAACACTTACAGGGCCCAGACCAGCTGCTCTAGAAAGCCTCCAATAACCTAAGGGATCAAATATCTGCTTCCACTTCCACTCCCTTCCCTGAGAGGATGCATTTATTCAGAAACATTTCTGATCTCTGGGCAGTAAACAATCACAAGTGGTGAGGACAGTATGAGGAAAAGCACATGGGTTAATATGAAGCTGCAGCAAGAGGACATAATTCATATGGGGGGAGGATGTCTCAACAAAAGTTTTTTTTTTTAACAATTTTTCAAGGTTTTATTTATTTTTTTGAGAGAGAAGGAGAGAGGACAAGCAGGCAGAGGGGCAGAGGCAGAGGGAGAAGCAGGCTTCCCGCTGAGCAGGGAGCCCAACATGGGCTCAATCCCAGGACCCTGGGATCATGACCTGAGCCAGAGGCAGATGCTTAATTGAGTGAGCCACCCAGGTGCCCCTCAACAAAAGCTTCTGAAAACTTGACACTCAAGCTGAGACCTAAAGAATACCCAAAAGTTTGCCAAGTGCAGCAGGAAGGAGGCATTCCAGGCAGAAGGAAAAGCATGTGTGAAGATCCTGAGGTGAAAAGAAATGTAGTGTATTCCAAGAGTTGAAAGGCTGGCGTAGTTAGAACCCAGAGAACAAGGGGAAGTGTGGAACAGGGTTAAGTCTAGATGGGAAGGCCAGAGCTGGCTCATGGAGGGCTCTCAAAGCCTCAGTCATGAGCTTGGATTTGATCATAAGGGTAGCGGGCAGCCAGCAGTTTTCAGTAAAGAAGCACAGTCATATCTCCCTTTTAGAACGATCACTCTGACCTAGGATGGAGAATGAACTAGAAGGAACAACAGTAGGGCTACACCTACCTTGTTCATCACTGTAACCCTAGCATCTAGCACAGTGCCTGCACATACTGGGCACCTGCACTCAGTAAATGTCTGTGGAACGAATGACTGGAAACAGAGAAGGCTATTACAGTAACCAAAGTTTGGAGCTGAAGAAAAGTGTTCCAGTTTGCGATTTCACGTAAGTTGATGGCATTTGGCAAAGGACTGATTGGATGTAGGGGTTTGGGGATGAGGGAAGGAAAGAGGCAAGCAAGATTCCCACGTATCGGGCTTGAGCGCCAACTCTATGTTCGGAGGGCAGAGTTGAATGAGATGGATAGGACCCGAGAAGGAGGGCAGGGAGAGGGTTCCCAGCCGACCGTCAGATGCCCTCCCAATTCCCACACGTGCGTGTCTGGGCATCTGAGGAGACACCGGGCACAAGAACCGCACTGAGCTCCTGAAGTTAACTGCAGAGACACTCTCTCCACCCCCTGGCTCTCCCAGATCACTCCCGGCACCGCGCGCAGGCGCCATCCGCGGGGAGAGGGGAAGGGGCACCGTGCACACAGGAAGACCTGGGTGATGGAGCTGGCTGTCCACACTACGTAAACGCCTTGAACTTATATGAGCTGCAGTTTTCTCACAAGACCATTGCGAGCATCAGCGCGGAAAGCTCCAGGTCCAAAGTGGACGTCGCACCGCTCGCAAAGAATCGCGCGGAATCCCCACGTTTCTTTCGGCCTGTCAGGTTCACTCGCCCCAGGTCCGCCCGCGTCCTCCGACTCGCAGTCGCTGCCTACCTGCCAACCCCGTAGCGGCAGCACGCTGCCGCCCGGGCTGATTCCCGCAACCCGGTTCTCTCCCGGGTCAGCGGCAGCCGGTGCCTCGCCCGCCGGCCTCAGCTGCTGCCACGGCTACAGGACCTGTTTACCGGTAACGTCATTACCTGACTACGGAAGTACTTACCTCGCCCAACCCGCAGAGCCTGCTGGGAAACAAGCCTGAGAGGAGGGACGGCTGCCTACAAGATCCAGAGGGCTTTGCGCCGGAAAGGCTGCCGGAAGTAGCTGAGCGCTCACCCCGAAATGCTCTCAGGGGCCCCTCCCTCCCCAGTGATTGGGTTCTGGGCAGGGCCGGCTTTAGAGTCCCAGGTTGAGGGGAGGGCGGGGTTGGGCCGCGGCTTAGGGCGGAGTCCGCGGGTGGAGGATGTGAGCTCACAGCCCCGGATTGCTGGCGGGCAGGCGGCCACAGCGCAGGGCGGCGCGGGGTCGGCTTGCAACCCAGCTGAGAGGAGAAGCGCCCCCCCCTGGGACGGTGAGAGCCGGGGTGCGGATGCCCTGGGGGGCAGGATGGACGGGTCCCGAGCTGGAGCAGAGGTTCCCACCCAGTCCTGGGGAAAAGGCGTGGGACGGCGTAGGGGAGATAGCTCAAATCCTCCACTGGGATGGGTGTCAAAATCGGTCTCAGTTTCTCGGTCTTGAGGAGGGGGTGCGGGCCGGGGAAGACTCACCACAGATCAGAGAGTTGGTCTGGTTAAATCTTTCCAAACCCTTTGGACGAAGTTTAAGATTTACACCTAGGATTTCTGCTAGATCCGCCCCCTCTATCCAAGATCTGTTACCCGCCCGCCACCGCCGAGTGTGATGGGTTTCTGGGTACTTCTTCCTTTAGGACTCCACCTTCTATAGCCGTGGTTGTTGTCGTGCCCTTTAATCTGCTTAGGTTCCCTTTAGCCTCGCTAAGAGAGACTCGGATACGCCCTCAGCCCCAGGCATCCCCAAGTATCCACACACAAAGTCCGGAAGGAACAGCGGTGAGGCTATCAATGGAAACTTCATTCTCATTGGAATTACTTACTGAGGCGTCACCTGCCACAAGATTCCTGGAGCCCAGTGGTCTGGGAGCCCAATGGTCTGGGAGGAATCCGAGCTGGCAGCATCTGAGCTGACGTCATCCAGGGGCTCAAAGCAATTGCTTTGTAGGCCCTGTTGGCCACTGCCTGGCCTTGAGTTCCTTTACTTTGGCAGAACGTATGTGTGCTTGCTTTGAACCTGGGGAAACTGGAGCTAGACCCAAAGTACATTGGGAACTTGCTAAAACCTGTTAAGGGGTGGACTTACGCCTTTGGGGTGAGCCAAGGAAGGTGAGGTGATTTCATACTATTCATGTGTTACTTAGGGATTAGGCAATCTGCTGGCAAGGGTTCATCTCATCCATACTCCGTTCTTGGGGCAAATGAGAGGCTCCTGGACCAACCACCGAAGAAATTAGGTACTTCACAAAGCACCCGCTCTGGTCCTTCCTTGGACATTCTTCCTAGGGGCCTACCTAAATCTTTTTAGGGACAGTTTTCAGTCTAACAAACTGATATATATTAAATACTAAATATATTAAATGCATGACATTGTGCACTGCTTCTGGATCTCACAGGAGGCGGCATGCAACCGTTAAGCTTTTGCATGTTGTGAGGACTACAAGGCAATTTCGTCTTTTTTTATGTCTGTTACCAACACTGCAGTCCGAGCCTCTGTTTCCTCTGGTATTCCCGCTTGCTCTCCTGCACCCTTATGATCCGTTCTCTACCAGGCAGCCAGAGTGATCTTTTCAAAATGTAAATAACTCAGATCCTGTCACTTCCTTGCTTCAAACCCTCCAATTGATTTCCATCACAATTAGTATAAAATGCAAACTTTTTCATATGAAGCAGCCCCTGCGTGGTCTGACTTTACATCAAGCCAACTTCCCCCTTTTCTATGCACTAGACATCTTGGCCTTATTTCTGTTCCTAAAACTTGTGGCTAACTGAGAAACTTTGCACTCATTCTTCCATCCATCTGGAATGCTCTTTCAGACTTCAGCTGGAATGTCACCTTCCCAAAGAGGCTTTCCCTGGCCCCATCCATCTTAGGACTTCTCCCTAGTCACTCTCTTATCACTAGCTTAGTTATTGCATTTCTTACCATCTGGAACTGCTCGCATATTTATTTTCTTGCTTATTATGTATATCTTCCCCCTAGAAGGTAATCTCTGTGAGACCATGACTTACTTGTTCTCTTCTATATCCTCAGTGCCTGGCACATAACAGGGGACAATAAATGCTAACTCTTACTATTTTTATTCTTGTTAACGTTATGTTGCTTCTTTGTACTCCTTGAAGGCAAGGCCCATATCTTTCCATCTCTCTGTCCCTACTGCCTAACAGAGTAGGCACTCAGTCTTATTTACTCACTATATGAATTAAACGAAGTAATGTCGGTTAAGTCGCCTAGACTAGTACCTAGAATACAGTAAACCTGCAGTGAATGTTTGCTCTTTTTTTCCAGTGGATGAATTGTAGTGATTCCTTAGAAAACCAAGACATATAATAAAGAATCTAGCTCACGAGGGGTGACCTAGCTCTGCCCTCCTTTGCTTCCCTCACTCCTCCCTCCTATGAATGCCTATCAGTGTTTCAGTTTCCAGATCACTTCGTAGTTGTTTTGAGATTTACCATCTTTGTGAGCCCCTTCTCCCCAGTCTTGTGGGCAGGGAAGAAAGGAAGAGATAGGGCTGGGCCTCATCTCAGGAAGAGGTAAAAATAACCATCCTGTAGTTGTTCTGTCCTGGAAAATGGTGACAATTTCAGGAACCTGGGACAGGGCTGGGACCCAGAAAGGGGAGGGTCAGGAAACTCCGCTGGGGCCAGGGGAACCTCTGCCAGGTACACTAGCCGGTTCCCTCCAGCCTAGCTCATTCCCTGCTCTCTTAAAGCTGCTTTTACTTTGCTTCCCGAAGCCAGACTGTGGTGGTGCTCAAAGTCAGCCCTGGTACAGGCTGCTTCTGAGCCTGGAATATTTAGAAAGGAAGTACATCCTGTCTCCCTCTGGCTCCTGGGAATCTCCTGCGCTGGCAGGATTCCTGGTACGTTTGGTGGGAAGTCTTGGGTCCTGGGAACGAGAATTGGACTGTGGTTCCCCAGGGTAAAACTTCAGCTGCCCCGTCCGCTCCTCAAACTGTCTCAGACTAACTCCAAGGGTTTGCTTGTCCTCCTTGCTGCTGAGAGCTGAGCTGAGGCTCAGGGAGGCCGGCGAGATGGTGGGCAGGCTCTGGGAGACTGCGCTGGTTGCTGGTACCATAAAGAAGAGCAGGGATGTCTTCTCTTGCTGTTGCCTCGGGCCTTAGCCTCTGCCAGGGAGGTTCTTTGCTTGTCAAGGAGAGAATGACTGCATGGTCTCCTCGCATCCCCTTGCAGCTGAGGGTTTTGCTCGGCTAACTCCTGTCTTCTCTCCCATCTCCTGCTCACAGTGCTGAGAGTATGAGGCTCTGGCCTCCACTGGCCACTCATTCGTGATCCTTCCACCACGGCGGAGCCTTCCAAGCCGACCTCCTGCCGTGTGGTGATCTACCTGCAGCGGGAGATGTCAGGGGATACCTGTCTGTGCCCAGCCTCGGGGGCCAAGCCCAAGCTGAGCGGCTTCAAGGGAGGAGGCCTGGGCAACAAATACGTACAGCTCAATGTGGGGGGCTCCCTGTACTACACCACCGTGCGGGCACTAACCCGGCACGACACCATGCTCAAGGCCATGTTCAGCGGGCGCATGGAGGTGCTGACCGACAAAGAAGGTGAGGCATCAGGGCTCGTTGGGCCAGCTGAGGAGGGAAGGAAGTGTTCCTGAGGAAGCTAGTTTGGGGCAGGGCTCAAGCGTGGCAGGTCTAGACTCTAGATTCCCTCTTCCTGTTTCCCAGTGCAGATCTCCTTCGCCTGGAGTCTTGGGTAGAGCCTCGGAATTCTTGGAGGTTGTAGGTAGAAGGGTGTGCGCTTACACATTTTCCAGGGTGAAGATCCATACTTCTTAAATATTCCCAAAGGACGAGATGCTCCCGAGAACCACGGTCATAGTGAGTGGGCAGGACACAGAAGGCAGGCAGGTCCTGGCACTGTCCACGTGGCCAGCGGTGGGCCTGAGTGCTCCTGAGCTGAGACCTCCGTGGGCTGCCGCGTTGCCTGGAAGGCCTCTGTCCCCCGCAGTCCAGGCCAGCCCGGGTGGAAGAGAATAGCCACAGGCCAAAGAGCTGGAGGTGGTGTTCCCGCTCCTGTGACCCTGTGCTGCGGGCCGCCCCCAGGCTAGTCAGGTGGCCTTTGCCCGCTGCTCATTCCTGGAGGCAACGAGTAACCCTGTGCGGCCTGTCTGAATCCTTAGGCTGGATCCTCATAGATCGATGTGGGAAGCACTTCGGCACCATTTTGAATTACCTCCGAGATGACACCATCATCCTCCCACAGAACCGGCAGGAAATTAAGGAACTGATGGCCGAAGCCAAGTATTACCTCATCCAGGGGCTGGTGAGCGTGTGCCAGACTGCTCTGCAGGTACGGAGCTGAAGAGGGCTCAGGTCCAGGAGGTTCGGGGTCGGCTTCTCCCTGCAGGGCCATCAAGGTCCAGTTCCCAGAAGGTCGCGTGACCGGTAGGGTTGGGAGTCCAAACCTCGTTGTCAGATATGCAGGGTGCTGCCCAGGCCAAGGATGCTGGCAGCCAGTCATTTGGAAGATGGCGGACTTGGGCAGTAGGGGACTGAGCCTAGTTTCCAGTTTCTCCACTTTGGTATCTGGATTTTAGGTTTTCTGGAAATGGGCTTCTGCCTGCCAACTGGCAGTTCCTATGGCCAGATGCCTCCTCGATAGGCAGACGGTAGCCTTGGCAGAGGGGCTCCGACAGCTCCTGGGGAAGGCCTGGCTTAGCCTAGCAAGCAGGAGAGCTCAGAAAAAGATTCTCATTGTGTGTGTCACCAGGACAAGAAGGACTCCTACCAGCCTGTGTGCAACATCCCCATCATCACCTCCCTGAAAGAGGAAGAGAGGCTCATTGAATCCTCCACCAAGGTACTGGGACCCCGGTGGGCTGTGGGCAGGGGAGGATGGGACCCTGGCCTGGCCCTCACGCTCTCCTCCCTCCCAGCCCGTGGTGAAGCTGCTGTACAATAGAAGCAACAACAAGTATTCCTATACCAGGTAGGGTGGGCAGCTGGGGGCTGGGGTGGGCAGGGCTTGGGGAAGGGTGGCAGAAGTAGCTAGAAGGACTAGGCAGCCAGCCATGGGGTAGGAGACCCGAGAGAAGCCACCTGCATTCCTGGCTCCGTTGGCGCAGGTCTGGGTCTTGAGGCGGGAAGAACAAAGAGAGAAGGGAGGTGAGGGCAGAAGCGTTTGGAACTGGGTGCTGGGCCCTGGCTGGGATCTAGAGGAGAATGAACCGGAAACCGCTCCCTCCCCCTCACCTCCCCCACAAGCGTGTCCTGTCAGGCAGCACGCCAGGGGTTTTCCCGGAATTAGCTTCTGGGGTGGAGGAGGGACCCTGGAAGCCCATGGCTGGGACTCCTCCTAAGCCAAGCTCTGTGCTTCACAGCTGGGCCACCCTTTCCCTTGCCCATTGTCCCCTCAGCTGGCCAGTTAGGTAGACGCTGAAGGCCACGGACTCAGGGAGTCCCCTCGGACAGACATGTTGCCGGCATCCCCCCTACAGCCAGGGAACAGACCCTCCTGCCGTGACAGCTGCGAGCCTCCCTCCTTCGGGGCCAATGAGAGGAGACCACCCTCCCTCAGTTCTCCCTGCTTTAATTTCCGAACAACTCCCCTCCTCTTCCTCACAGGCCCCCAAATCCAGAGGGTCCCATCTGACCCCTTGACTTTTCCTCAGTTCTGCGTGATGGGGAGGAGGGGACACACCCAGTCAGCACCCTCTCTTGTGCTAGAATGTCATTCCCAGGCCCACTGGCCTTCTTGGGTTTTCCAGCAACTCGGACGACCACCTACTAAAAAACATCGAGCTGTTTGACAAGCTCTCCCTGCGCTTCAATGGCCGCGTGCTCTTCATCAAGGATGTCATTGGCGATGAGATCTGCTGCTGGTCCTTCTACGGCCAGGGCCGCAAGCTGGCCGAGGTGTGCTGCACCTCCATCGTGTATGCCACGGAGAAGAAGCAGACCAAGGTGTGGGGGGCCTCCCTTTGCGCGGGCGGGGGCAGGACACAGCCTAGGGCAGCCCCAGCTGGGCCTTTCATCACCGGGAGCCAGAGGGCGTTCGGTTTGCTCTGTTTTCCCCAGACTCACATGATGGTGCTGGCAAGGACAAATTCAGTTCGGGGAGTTTGGGGAATGGCCTGGGAATGCTTTGTCCTGGTCAGCTGAGAGGCAAGAACAGCATGGTGTGGCGGGAAGGACTGGGTCTTTGGAGTTGGCCCAATTTAGGTCTGAATTCTGGTTCTACCGTGGACCTGTTTTCTGGCCTCATACAAGCTGTTTAAAGCAGCTGGGCCTTAGTTTCCTCACCTGCAAACAGGGGCCTGATAGTATGCAGTCAGTGGAAGTATTAGGAGAACGTGGCAGTTCCTAGGAGCAGCAGTGTAGGGTCTGATCACCTCTCTGGCCCTGGCTAGTCAGGCGTTCCTGGTTACCAGTTCAGCCCCTGCAGTAACAACGCAGCGCCAGGTGCATGTGAGGGATTCGACAGGTGACAGTTAATGCAAACTCAGCAAACCCTGTTCTCCACTCATAATTGCTGGAGCAGTATTTAAGGCTGGCTCTGAGCACAAGGCCAAGGCCCTAACCTCCCCACATGCTAGCCCGCTGTTCTGGGACTGGGCGGGGCACGGGTGGCATGCTAGTCTTTGACGTCCTTTTGTCCACGAATCCAACTCCCCACATCTCCTCCAGAGAGAGGCTTCCCCTCCCCCTCACGAGATGGGAAGCCACCTGTCTTAGGAGAGCGTTTGGGAGGAACTTAGCCAGCCCAGGGGCAAGGGCCCTGCCACATTGCAGCCTCTGGGGTGAAACGTCGCTCGGTCCTCTTGTTCCCCTGAGCCCAGGTGGAATTCCCAGAGGCCCGCATCTATGAGGAGACACTCAACGTCCTCCTCTATGAGACCCCCCGAGTCCCTGACAACTCCTTACTGGAGGCCACCAGCAGGAGCCGCAGCCAGGCTTCCCCCAGTGAAGATGAGGAGAGCTTTGAACTGCGGGACCGGGTCCGCCGTATCCATGTCAAGCGCTACAGCACTTACGATGACCGGCAGCTCGGCCACCAGTCTACGCATCGCGACTGACAAGACCCTCAGGGAGTCAGGGCACGGGACACCCTGTCTCCCGTCCTGTGGAGCCCTGCCCCGTTGGCCACCCCACACTGCTGTTGGCTGGATTTCTGCTCCAGCACCCAGAAGCATGACAGGAGGGCAGAGGGCCTGGGCAGGAGAGGGACCACATTCCTTTGCCCTGCTCCCTGAGCACTTCAGGATGACCCAAGTCCTGGATCCTTTGCTCACCCTTCCTGACAGGGAGCTGTGTCTGCCCCTGGGGCAACTGGGCTGACCTGCCCATGTCCCACGAGAACAGTCCCCTTGACCCCTTGCTGAGTGTCCTTTGGCTCTACTGAAGGGCTACCTTTAAGGCCTCTGGGGAGATCCGTGGGGAATGGGCTCATTCTGGTGCTGTGGAGGCCCAGTTTCTTATAGAAGGTGGGGCTTCTTTTTCCTTGAGGTCTTTAAGCACAGGCTTCATGACTTTGGTTTTTAAAAAATTACCTAGGAAATGAATAGCTTGAACTCTAATAATGAGGGGACTGGGCATTTGTGCTACCCCTCTAGGGTGCCAAGACCCTGGGTAGGGCTGAACCCTTGGCCTTCCTTGATGCCTTTGGCATCTGTTTCTTTAAAGCACTTTGTACTCTTACTCAATTTGTATTCTGCCCTGACCCATATCATCTTTTTCTGACTCTAACCCCTCTTCCCTGCAGAATCAATCTGAGAGAGGGGCTAGAGAAGCAATAAAACAAAACAAAAAACTGACTAGCTTTGGCTTTGCTGGGCTGGCCAAGCAGCCAGCCCAGAGAGCATGCAGGAAAGAAGGACATTTAGGTTGGGAACTGTGGTCCTAATAATGCCCATGAGAAAGGACATTTTAAGGTCATGTAATGGACTCCTAGGGCTTAACATGATTGCTCTTTTTGATTCTCTTGCCCTCAGCCACAAGGCATGCTTTGCTTTACTTTCTGGAAACCCAAAGGGCCATTACAGGGGCCAGGAGCATGAGCCACAGTGGGAAGGCAGTGGAGCCCATGAGCGCTGCACTCGGATGCCCATCAGCTGAGGTCAGTGACCACCAGCTCCGTGTTCCCAGCAGCCCTGTGCAGAGGTGACATGTGCTTGGCTGTGGAGCCCCTGCCTGCCCCATATTACTGGTTTTGTGTCCCCGCTGAGGATGGTGGTTCTGCCCAGCGCTGAGTCTGGACACAGGGTGATGGGAGCAGCCTAAATCCCTTTGGAGGCCGGATTAACGTGGCTGTGGAGCTGCCAAGCCCCAGCTCTCGGGCAAGGTGCAAGTTCCTCCTTGGGGCTTTTTCTCACTACCTGCTGTTTGGCTTGGCCCTCGAGAGACTGCTTATCCAAATTCTTTTCCAAAGGAATGCCATCAGGGAGGGACTGTGCAGCCGGCCTAAGAAAATGCCATATCTCATAGCTGCTGAGCGGTAGCTACTCTGAAAGGAGCACAGGTTATTAGGCTCCTCTCCCCTGACAACTGTCACTCTAGCTAAGTGGCCTGCTTGTGACTGACCCGGTGGAGCCTATAGGCAAATGCCAGGCCCACGGTTCGCAGACACCCACAAGGACCTGAAATGACATGATGAGGCTGGGGAAGTGTGACTAACCATGTATTTTACACTTGTCACAGCCTTGAATGTGTAGATTTTCCAGTGAGGCACCCTGGTCATCAGCTCAAAACACTTCTTCCAGCCCTGAGTGGAGTAACTAGATGAAGACAAATCCTTTCTTTGGCCAGATTCTGGCCTTTGGCTTTGTGGTTTTCCCATGGAGACTGGAATGCTTTCTGCCTGAGGCCACTGGCCTATTTCCTCTGCTACCCTCCTGAGGCCCTCTTAATACTCAAAGCCCCAGCTTCCCACTGAGGTATTTTAGTGCTTGTTCTTTGACCTCCCCAGCCCCAGCCTCTCTGCTGCTTCAACATTTAGATCCTCAGCTGTCTTCAGTGGTGACTAGCCTTTCTTCCCAAGAAAGCACAATAATCCTGGGCTGATCAAAAATATCTCCCTGGTCTTAAAGAAAAATACTAACGTTGAAATCACTGAAGTAATCTTAGCTTCTTTAATCAGACTTTGTGGCATAAGGGTTGGGGGAATTTCTTTGCGCTTCTCAGCCCCATTCAGAAAGCAGCTCTCAGCCGTGTGAATTTTTCAACTTGGAGCAGCCCATGGGAGCGCAAGCAAGGAGTGTGGATGAAGGTCACACCTTGTCAGTTTCTGAGAAAACTGGAAGCCTGCTGTTTACCACTGGTCCCGGGACTGGGCTTTACTCCATTTCTTATCTGACCAGTGTCTGCCTAAAGGATGGCCCAGGTCCTGCCATGAGAGAACATCCCCTTTGTCACTTACCTGCAATCCCTTGTTGCTCAGCACAGGTGATGAAAACAAACCCTAATTTCTAATAAAACTGTGTTACAGTGCTGTGGTACAGAGCTGTGCTTGCAGCGACCAGAGCTGGGTCAGCTCACTGTTGTGGACCTAGCTCTTGTTTTCCTCCTGTTCGCCACCTCCCTTGCGTTCTCGGAGTCCGAAATCCTATTGCACTCAGTTGCCCTGCAACCCAGGCTCCCCCTGGTGGAGGATTAAGGACAACACTAATAAGGGCTGGAACTGAGATTTAATATTAAGAATAAAACGATCTCTTTAACAATCACTATGGTAGTAGGGAAGCAGGAATCCCTACGATTCAGGGGGAAATGCAGCACATTTCATCTCTGGCTCTTAAGGATCTGTGAGCAGCTCAGAAAGTAGCTTGGCTCAGACGCCATTCACACATATCTAAAGCTTCTCGGCTGAGTTTCTCCATTTGTCGTCTGGAAAGGCCTGACAGACACAGGCTCATGGCTGGCAGGCCTATTATTCCAGGGACCTCACATGGCTTGCCTCACTCCTTCCCAGGACCAAGGAGGCCAGCGATGCCAACGGCTGACCAGTGCGGAGAAGCCCGAGCCTGATGCTGGCCTCCTGCTCAGCACTTGGCAGAGGGTAAAGAAAACAAGAGTCCAATCTAGCCCTCACCCCACTGGCTGAGAGGCACCGTGACCCTGGGAGATGTTCAGCCAAGTCCGAGCCTCAGGGGAGAAGCATACACTCTAACAGATGGGGCAGTTTCCTGGAAAGGCAGCAAGGACAGCAATCAAGGGCACCACTGGTCAAAAAGGGAGCCTGAGAACCCGGGGGCAGAAATGGCGAGGGTGGCCAAGTGTGCACTGGTTTATTGACCAAACCTCATATTCCAAACAACTTGTGGAACAGGCCAGGAAACCCAGGCCTGTGGCAGCTGAACACAGAATTCCTGGTGGAAAGGTTTACTGGAACACAGTGTAGCCAGGGCTTACGGGGGAGGCCAGCCTTGGAGGAGTCCTACACAGGTCTTCTGGAGAAAACGACTACACCCACCCGCTGAAAAAGAACCCCACAACCAAACGGTACAAACAATAGAAGAGACCCACTGTGGCCCATGGTGGAAAGAGAGTTCTGCAGCAGTTGTGGGAGGAGAGCTGTTCAGAGGCCAGGCCTAGGCACTCAGGCCTCAGCTGGCCTACCAGTGAAGGCCTGATGGTGGTGTCTTCTCATCTTTATTGCTTTCCAGGGAGAAGGGAGGGATCCGGACATCAAAGTGGGAGCCATCAGGCCTCTCGAAGCGGAATGTGCCCCTGCAGGTCAGAGAGAAGGCGGGTTAGAGGGAGTGATGGCAGAGGCCCTGCTGAGGATCTTGAGAGCCCTAGGCCCTTGACTCCGGGACTGAACACAGCAGGATGAGCTCCCTTCAGCCTGGTTCACGTCAAGATAACACTGGTCTACAAACCCGAGAGCCCTTCCTGACCCTACAAGAAAAGAAACACAGCTGCCCTGATTCTGGCCCTTAGATGCACACTCGTAAGCTACCCAACCATACTTTTAGGTTAAGGAGTGAACCACCAGGGGAAAACCAACTACATGGGCAACTCAGTGCCACACCAAACCACCAAACCTCTCAGGTCTAAGTCCTCAGTCCATGAAATCACAGGAACTAGAAAACAGAAAAAAATCCAACAAGTCCCCCATGACAACGAACAGCAGAAAAACCCCATCTCAAGATGGAAGCCAGCCCAGAATTAACAGCAAACTCTGAGCTCTCATGTTTCTGAGCTGTGGCTGTGTCTGCGGAGTTGGGGCACCCCGTCTCCCAGCATGTGCTCACCCACTCACCACATGTGCCCGCTGGAAGCTTGCAAGGAGACGTGGCTGCTGTACTGGAATGCAGGCTGCTCCTTGGATAACACGGGTTCCTATAAGGGTTCAGGGAAAATCGGTAAGGCCAGGCCAGCTCCCCATACCCTGGGGTCACATGCCGACTGCCAGTTCATCAGGAGGGTGCCCCTTCTGGCCCCCCACAATGACTGCCTGCCAGTACTCACCGCCCCCCACCCCCGAGACCAGCCACTGACCTGGGTCTTGCATTCTGATTCTGGGAAAGAGAACCTCAGACTTAACATCTGAGGCCACTGGGCAAAGATGCTGGGCAGAAAACCTCCTCTGTAAACAGCCCTTCCAGAGTCCATTCACTAAGTGCGTGGGTGCCAGGCGCTGTGGTGGTGCTCTGCAAACCTTGGCTAACTTAAACCTCCCGGGAATTATGAGGTAATAGGTGTGACTCCCATTTAACAGGAAGAAACTGAGATTTTTTTGTTAAACTGGCCCAATGTGGGGAATAAACCACAAACAGCTGGCATTCAGAGCCAGACTATCTCACTCCAAAGCCCTGGTCTCACTCAGCATCCCACCCTGCATCCCAAGTCCCTGCTCATGGGGAGAAATACACGTTAAATGTGGTCGCTGGCCATTTCTCAGGACTTCATTCTCAGAAGACAGGGTGGGGTAGTACAGGATTTGCAAAATCCGATCTCTTTGTGGACCAGCAGAGGCAGGTGTATTAAGAGGCAGAGGAGGGGTGCTTGGGTGGCTCAGTGGGTTAAGCCTCTGCCTTCAGCCCAGGTCATGATCTCAGGGTCCTGGGATCGAGCCCTGCATTGGGCTCTCTGCTCAGCAGGGAACCTGCTCCCTCCACCCCATCTCTGCCTGCCTCTCTGCCTACTTATGATCTCTCTCTCTCTCTGTCAAATAAATAATCTTTTATTTAAAAAAAAAAAAAAAAAAAAAGAGGCAGAGGAAAGACAACCAGAAGCAGAGGCTGGGGCAGGTTAGGGGGAGGAGCCCCACAGAAAGGCACAAAAGCTCTGATGTTGGGACTCCCCTGGATTCAAATCTGCCATTATCAGGCACAGGACCGGGGGCCAGTTACTCACTTCGCAACCTCTCTCTTCAGCTGTGACTCAGGCTGTAAGAAACCATCTCATGGGGTTGTTGTAAGGTGTCACCCAAAGCAGCCCAAGGCATCCCACAATGAGCCTCTGTCTCCAGACACAGAGGAAAGGAGAGCAGGCACTGAGCCCCCAGGCCTGCCGGGAAGGACCAGAAGCAGCATTACTGGCCTGATGACGCTCACCCTTCCCACCACGCCTCGGCCTCGCACTGTCTCCAAGGTGCCAGATAAACTGAATATCCTCCAGTGTCGCTCCCGGAGCTGTACCACGTCACTGTCGAGGTTCTCTAAGCGGATACAGTAGCGCCACTGTGGAGGGCAGAGGACAGAGTTCACAGCTGACAAAGAACAGACCTTGAGCTAGCCTACCTGGAATTCTACGAAAGCAAAAGGCAACCAAAAGGGATATCTGCAGTGCACAGACCCCTCCCGCCAGA